TATATATATATATATATATAAAATGCCTATTCCACTTACACATTGAGTCTATGTCTATAATAAAGTTATGGTGAATTAAGATTTACTTTATATAATGACTTACTTAATATAATGAATATGAATGTGGAACATCATACAATATCTTTGGAAGTCGTCAATCTACTCAATTTAAGACACCGAGAAAGATGCACCCATAATTCACTCTTGCTTGAAGGTTACAGAAACTATAACAGAGTAACCTGGCCATACAGGCATTGTTTCTGAGTTACTAGAAAGGAAGCAATCCATTTGGTGCATGCTCCGTGTTGTCTCCTCGTCCGCAGCCATCCACATTGTGGCGCATTTGTGCAACCTGGAGCGCTATCACCTGAGCCAGTCAGCAGAAGCAGAGGGACTTCTGGCTGCACTTTCCAAACTTGGCGACACCCCAAATGAGAGCTACATCAACCCCATCCGGGCCTCCCACACTGTGAGTTCTCCTTGCATGTACCTACTTTCTCATCTGAAAAATCCTTCCTTTTCCAATCCCTTCTAAAATCAGGAACACTATTTCAAAAGCTTTTAATGAAAAGAGCTTGAGAGAAGACGTTTCTGCCAAATGTTAACATCAATTTCACTTTTTAAAAAAAGTTATTTTTTCTGCCATAAATATTGCTAAGAGGTTGTGAGCAAGGAGAAAAACTGATGCCACTTAATTAGTTTATAGCAAAAAAAAATAATAATAATAAATACACCTTAACAGGAAATGCAGTAACCTGTTATATCTCTAATATTTTAAAATTGAAAAGCAGCTCATGATTAGATATTTTTTTGCTGATGTTAGAATCATAAAGAATATGAAGTGCCATCTCAATCCAGAGACCATCAATTAGATGTCTTCATTTTCAATTTGCAAATTGTTTTCTGGATCTCGTCTCCTGTGTCACATTTTGGCACATGTGTGACTAGCCAGTTTGCCAAATCAGATGCTGGGCAAAGTAGCTGATTTCATAAAGACCTGCACGGCTAGTGACATCATTAATGCTAATTACCTGTGTGCACAGAGTGACAGCACATGTGGGAAACAAAAAGAAAACCGAACACGTAGCCACAGAAATCACCTGCAGAGATTAAGACATTCCTCTCGCTTAATCTACCCCCTACCTCTTTCTTCTTAGTTGATCTAAACCTTTGGCCACATTGGAATATGCATCCAGACAATGAAGGTTAAAAAAAATCTCTATTGCCCAAGAAGAGCCCTAAGACAACACACTGCAGAAATGGAGATGTCTCCATTGCCATCTGGGTCATCTCTTTAAGTCACCATTTGGTCCATGCAGCCTTATTTGAAGAGGCAAAATCCAAAGTCTCTCTTGGGGGAAATTCTTCCATATCATATCCCCTAATTATCCTAAGATGGTTTCCACTATCAAGCCATTGATCAAGTAGAGCTACATTTTCTTAACTTATGACAATTGGAAGCACAAAGTTCACAGCTATCAATCAAAACTTCAGATGCCTTGGCCTATGAGAATGCCTTTCGTGTACTCATCTGAGCTGCAGCATTTGTCAGGGCACCTACTGGGATTAACTCTTTTCCCCACTAAGGCTCTGGAAAGTTCATTGCTACACACACCCAAGAATAAAGCTCAACATTTTGAAGAGACCATATAGTAAATAACATGTATTATAAATATTTTTAAAGCAATTTAACGAGATGATTAAGCTACTTCCAGTATAGTTATTTCAAACTTTTAGAAGTAATATACTATGTAAATACTAATTAAGACCAGGAAACCCTATGATTTGGGGTATTTAGAGAAAGGTGAGTAGAGTATCAGTAACACAAAGTGTACTTTATAGAATATTTCTAAATAGATGCAATGGGATTATTTTAGAGGGTACATTACAACGCAAACCAGTCTATAAGTATGGTGAAAGAAAGGAGAAGTGGGGATTTGTTTTAATAAGCAAAGAGTGATGATTTGAAATTCGCACATCGTATGAGGTAAGTGGATTTCTAAAATGTGTGCATACACTTGAAAAAAAAACTTTTAAATGTTTTAGACATACCCTTTTCAATTTTATTTCTACTGTTTGCCTTATGAAGAAATAATGAACACTGGAGAAATCCCTGTCCATATTACCCCGTGATCTCAAAGCAACCCAAATTAATGAGATTTTACTGACAAAAGATACACTGTGAGTTTATTGAGCTCATGGTCATCTCAAGGATAGTAACACAATGTATGAATACTAATAACTTAGTAAGATATGGGAAACTCACAATAAAAACAAAATGCTTTGTGATTCATATTCTAACAGGCTATTTAACCATCTCCTGGACTCCCCGGTCAGAATTCTGGCCTTTTGGCAGTGTGTCTACCAGATAAGAATAGCTGTATCTTTATTGATCACCTAGGATTTACAAAGTCTTATGCCAAGCCTCCTGAGGCGGTGTGAAAGAAATGCAAGTCATGGTCCTTCCAATTAAAAAGCAAAAGCAAGGAGTAACTACCAGAGGAAGAGAGCGTGCAGCTGCTTTAGTTGGAATGCCTCTCAGGGGCCTCTCAAAAAGAGTGTTTATTAATATTAAAACGCAATTAACCATGGCGATCCACATTTTTATTTTAAAAATGAAAAAACTGAAACTCAGATATATTTTGCAGTATTGTATTTTAAAATGTATTTTCATATATCATCCTAATTTCGATTCCACATAGTAACTTTGACATGAAAATTGATTCATACACATGAAAAATGTAATTAATGAAATGCATTTGATAAAATTAACACAAAGCATATGTCTGCCATCAGATGGGAGAGAGAAAAGGGCAAGGAAGCTCCGTTCTTGAGTAGTATGGGGACCGTTTTGAAGCTAATATGTGCTGATTAGAACATTTTGAATTGCTCCTTGCTTGGACTCTCAAGTATGGGTCCTCAAATGGAAAATTAGAACTAAGATATTAATGTCATGGCATTTGTTTCTTTCAGAACACAACTACTGAGTTGCTGTCGACAATTGCGGGCATTACCGGCCTGTTGATCTCGCTGGCTTTAATCTTGATCATGACCTCTTCCACCGAGTTCATTAGACAGATCTCCTACGAGTTGTTCTGGTACACACACCACGTTTTCATCATCTTCTTTATCAGCCTGGCTGTCCACGGGGCAGGGTAAGTCCCTACTGTGCTCAGTGTGTGTGATTTTATCTCTGTAAACCTCGGAATAACCTTAGAATGTCCTTTGGATGGAAGAACATGGCACACAGGGACTAAAGGACTCATAGATCACATGCAAAAGCACATTCACAGTGGCAAATTCACAGTGTAACTTTTTTTTAGTAATACTGAAAATAAGTGACATAGGTGGTGAAGTATTGTATTTATTTTTCTTAGTTAACTGTGTTGGGCCATCTTGACATGTGGATAAGATGCGGGAGTTATAACAAAGGCTAGCTGACAATAGATCCATGTTTCATTCAGAACCTATTTACGCAATAAAATTTATGTGGGATTAATCAGGATATGTATTTTTGACACCCAGATGTCACTTCTGCTTGACCAAAACCATCCACTAGGAAACTCGGCGTGGGGCAGAGGACAGTGTGTGAGATGGCCTGTCTGACCTGGGCTCTGACACTGGTCATCAAGGTGGCTGTGTACAAGCCCTTTACCATATATTGCTGTGGATAGTGTCCATTTTGCCCAAATTTGTGAGGGAAAAATAAGGATGCGCATTATACATGGGTAGTATTAATTCCGTATCTATATAAATGTTTTTCATTCTTTTGTTTGTACTTATGAGTTAAAAGTGTAATTCTAGAAATCAATAATGATATCCACATGCAAAATAATACCCTGGAATATGATAATCAGCTTTGTTGAACTTATGACAAACTTTCAACAACAAAGAGCTCTTGGCCTTCTATGATGCATAAATATCGTAAACTGTTACTGGTATATAAAATTTCTTGTACCTTGTATCTGTTTTGTAATTACTTGTTACATAAAAGTTATTGTACCATAATATGTTAAAAAGTAAATGCTAAAATTCTTTTATAATACAAAAAAAAGTACCTAAATGTAAACAAATAAAAATTTGAATTAAAAAATTAAAACGAAAGATTTTTTTTTTCCCTGAAAGTTTGGGCCAAAAATGTCAGTGCGCATTATACATGGCAAAATATGGTAAATTCTCTGGACCTCAGTTTCCCCATTTGACTTTTACGATCCCTTTTTGCTCAAATATCCCATAAAATGCTGTTCTGACACTCCACACCTACCTGATACTGTTAATCTTCTTCATCAGGAAGCTGGAGTAGCACGTGAAGTATAACTCTCAATTACAATGCTTTCAATTCTTTAAATACAGGGGATGCTAAAAAAATGTATACGTCTTAAAAGATGTTATCTACATATTACTTTTTGAAGTTGAATTGAATTACGGTAGCAATGTGTAGTATGATGTTCACTCAAGAGATGGCGTGAATCGAACGCTAGCGTCATTCATTGCATTACAATTTTAATACAGTTTTTTCCTTTCTTAAAATGTGTATACATTTTTTTGGCACCCTCTGTATTAACAAAATAGTTATGGACCAATTAACTGAACGATTGATGTCTATAAACTAGATTGTCCCATGTTAATTGCTTCATAAATTGGTGCCTTTTTTTTTCCTTTTACAACACCAAAGAACATTCATATGCATGATCAATTTGACCTTACCAACAGTCCTATCCAACAGTCAGTGCTGTCATCCCCATTTCATTAGGAAGAAACAGATATTCAGAGGGTTCATTGATTCGCTCAAGGTTCCAGGACGAATAAATGACAGATCTAGGATGCCAGCCTTCAGACAACCAAACTTTATAACAAGCCCAGAAGAATGGGTCTTCATTACCAGAGGTGGGCTCCATTTCTGCCCAGGCCTGGAAGAGCGAACACATGGCAATAGAGACTGCACACACAGTGACTGTGGGTCCTCCGTGGGGCCAGGTGGTAGCTCCTCTGGATTTGCACCTCAGCAAGCCAGCTGCTTCCTCTAACCTCCCCCCACATTAGATGTTCCTTTCATCTCGGCGCCTCGCTCCTAAAAGGGGATCGTCCTTCAGCTGCTGCTGCCTATGCCTGATTAAGACCTCCTTCCCATCCATAGGCTTGTCTGATACACAAACCTTGTGGAAGGAAGAATGGACCCTGGGGGCGTATTGTACCCTACACAACTGCCTCTCCTTCTGCTAATCCTTAGAAACCTCATCAGCCATTGTTCACATGGCTTCTGCTGCCTGGCCATGGCTTTCTAGTCTCTTGCAGCTTTCAAATGTCTGCAGTTGGCTCCTCTGTGTGATGGGTCCCTCACCTTGACTTTTTGTATCTTGAGGGTGATGGTGTAGAGTCCCAAAATGTTCCATCCCAAAGACTGTCAGCCCCTCCTTCCCCTGCAGAGTCTTCTCCTGATGCTGGGGTGTTAACCCTTGTAGAACATTTGAGAGGCTCTTCACAATCCACGCGTGTCTAGAAATCTCTTCACAAAAATTAGACATGCACCCCCCTGATCCCACCTCCCCTGCCTTCACACCCTGGCGCATTACAGAAGCACAAGAGGATTCCAGTGGGCAGCGTTTCATGGGAGATATTTTTAATATCCAAATAACATTTCATAAGATAAAATTTTTTAGTCATTTTAACTTAGTTGGAAGGCTTATTTTGGGATAAGGGCCTCATTTAATCTTCTCAGCTTGAAGTATTCTACAGCTACTGTTTACAGCAAAAGTAATTTGCAAATTCTGTACGAAATGCCAAGCAAAGAAGGATTATTGGAATGCGCTAAAGCCCACTAATCTCCCTATCATGGGATGGCATAGATGAAGACATAAAACACTTAACGTTTTTAAAAAGATACTGCATTGGAATGCTCTGAGGTTTCTTTAGATTATACAGGGAACATTGCTGAGAGCCTGAGAGTCAAGGTGTTAAAATTTACAGATTGTTTTCTTCTGGCTTTCATTTATCAGTCACCCTTCCTACGTCTGGGCATCATTTGCTCATGGAAGATTCAGAGATAGTTTTGCTCATCTAACTCCAAGGGGTGATCAAGCTTGGATGACTTCCATAAAACAGAGTGGGACAAAAGCCAAGATGCCAGTTCTCCAGGACATTGCCGCTCCCTTACCCCAGGCCCTGTGCCTCACAAGGGAACATGTTACCTCACAGGCTACCCAGGACAGAAGCCTTGTGATGCTTAAGTTTCTCAGTCTGGAGCACCACGTTTCTCAACAGTAAATCAATGTATTTTATTCAAAAAGACCGAGGAATTGAGCAACTCCCAGATTACATGGCCTCAGTGCCTTCTTGTGTTTCACCGCCGAGGCACCAACGGGTACATCGAGGCACTTATACCAAAGCAACTAGTCAAAGGTCTGCCCAACCTGCATTTGTGGCAAATAGAACACAGCAGGATTACTGGACTCTTTCTCCAGGGGTCCGTTCACAAAGGCCAGCCTTTTTTTTTTTTTCACTCTCAAATTCATCAATATAATCCTGAAGACACACTTCACACTGACCTATTCTGACCCTGTCAGAACTAAGCCTGCCAGTGGTCAATGGGGTGAAAAACAAATTTCATTATTCAGGGCACTTCTTCTGACTTCTTCGCTTGAAAATTTCTAGGTGCTCAGAAACAAACCAAGAAAGGTAAAAGTTAAATAAATCTGCCAAAGACCCAAATAGTACAAAGTTAGCCAATTAGCCCGAATCAGCAATCAGGACGAGATGTAACCTAATTAAATTCAACAATCTACAAAAGGATGTGTTCAAACAATTTCCCTTCATTATGAATTCTCTAATATAGACACTTTCAATTGAACACAGGATACCACAGAGGGCCACTTCTTTTCTGGGCTCTTCAAAGTTACTTGATGCTTCTTCAAGTCTTATTTTTAAAGGTGCTACAGGAGATGAATGACAGCCCATTGCGAGACAGTGCAAACATCCTGCCAGAGCCCACAATAGAATACATAGGTATCCCTGTTATCATAAGGCTGCACAAAATCAACTTTATATTTTTGGGTTTTGTTTTGTTTTAACGGCAAGTCGGATCATTCGAGGCCAAACTCCCGAGAGCCTGTTGCTGCACAACGTCACCTTCTGTAGAGACCACTATGCCGAATGGCAGGCAGCTGCCCAGTGCCCAATGCCTCAATTTTCTGGCAAGGAGCCTTCGGTAAGTATGAACGCAGGAGCTTTTTAAAATAGCTGTCTCCATAGTTAAAATAACTAGAGCTTTTATCTGCTTGAGAAAAGAACAGCCCACGTCACCACTAGACCAAGCCAACTCTTTATTAAGTGTGCTAATGGAGAAATCGAGTTATGGGTAATTTTAAAAGGGGTTTACTGCCAAAAGCACTCTGTCCATTTTGAAATGTGTTCTTCTACTTCCATTTAAATATGGGCGTCTGATATTGTGGGGATTCATAGCATCGCAGGCGCAGTAATGTCCCTGGAGGAATTAGAAAGCTGTGTGGCTTGCCACCCTCTGCTCTCAGCAAGCTCAGCTCCCCAGCTCCCTTCTGCATTCTGAGAACTAATAGCATCACTTCTCAAACGAATGTTAAGCAACAACCAAATGAGAATCGTGCCCTCTTTCTAAGTTTGCCTTCTTTCTTTCTATAGCTTTTGGAATGGGAAAAAACGGGGGTGCTAAATGCATTTACTTCCTGTTCTAGTTAAGCTCCCATAACTGAAATAAGGACCAAGGTAGTCAAAAGAGAATTCATTAATTAGAGTAGATGATAATGTCCATAAGATCTCAAAAGAAATATTTCCTGGATATGCCGTAATCATTACCGCTGGTGGCATAGATAAATAGAAATAATAATCCTATTTGGTCTCCTCAGGTATCTTGGGAGAATACAAACCTTGCGAAAGCTGGGTGATGCATGAAAGAAAAAAAAAATGAAGCCAGCAGATTAAAACTAGAAGAAAACAAGTGCCAAAAAATATATGCCATAAAAAATGGGATAATAGTATATAAATGGTAGGGGTTTAGGGAACTAAGTCATCAACTTATGAAGAATAAAATGGTCAACTTTTACTGAAATCCTCAAATAAATTAAGCACTGGGTTTTTAAGGGTGAAAACTGCTAGGAAGAATGTTTAAAACTGAAAGAGCCAGGATAGATGTGCCCATTAGGCTGAGGTTCTTTTAATGGCCAGTATAGATTGTCTCTGTCTTAAACTCAACTATCAGAAGTCACTACCTAGCCTGCATATTAATGAGGCGCACGAAAGCCTCTCTAAAATTTTCAGCTACAGCATCTCCATAAAAAAATCAATACCCTCCCACACCTCATGAATACAGACCAGAGCCTGCTCCCAGCAGCAGCGTATGCTGACATTAATTACCATTGAAAGGGGGGAACTGACCCATCTAACTCTCCCCAGCTACACCTCCTTGCACACCCAAACTCATGTTGTCACTCTTTCCCGTTATTTTTCATGGATCCTGATTCAAAGCCTGTGTGGGCTGTGCAATTACCGCTTGGCTGGATGTACAATATTCTCTCTGATGTCTTGTAGACACTGAGTCCAGAAGGCATCCCAAGGACGAGGAAGGGTTCCTGCGCTTCACCGCCCCACACCAGCCTGGTCTGGGCAGCACCCCGTCCCCTCCTTTTTGCCTCCCTTAACTCAGTGCATTTTCATGGCGCTTTTATCAATAGAATGTTTATCAGTTCACCTTCAGTGGTGCGCTACTCCCTTGTTAGGATGGAGGACACTTCGTACATCACCTCCTAGGAACTGAACTGATCAAAGGAACCAATTATATCTTGCAGTCCCTTTTCCCCCTCTTGTCTTATTGCCCCTTTCATCCTGAAACTCACAGTCGCATACAAACGCTATATTCTAGAATGATTCATGCAATCCATTATCAAAAGATACCTGGTCTTCCTTAGCCAAAGACGCACCTTATTTTATTTAACTATGACATCAATAAGTAATAATAAAGAGCAATAATAATGACGATGAGAAGGCTGATACTTTTTAAATTATTAGGGAATGACAACAGTGCAGGGGAAAGCTTTAACTGAGGTAGAGTCGATTCAGCAATTTTTTTTCCAATTGGCTATTATACACTTGGAGTTGCACTAGATGCGGATTCAGAGATGTGGTTCCTGCCCCTGGAAACCTTATTGTCTAGAAAAAGAGGCCATTCATAAACACACACATAAAATAAAATCCAAGCCAGCATGTTCTTATTTTCTGGTAGGAATGAAAAACCAGGAGTGAAAGTGGAGGAAACAAGTTTCATTGCTGCATCTTTTAAATCAACATGGTTTTTATTTCTATCATAAAATACTCACTGTACCATGACTTTCTGAGCCTTTCTGGAGAAGAAAAAATAAAACTAAGAATTCAGAGTATTTTAGCTTTAAAGAAACCTACATACTAAATAGCACAGCCCCTTTATTTAACAGATGGAGAAGTTGAGACACAAGGAACTTTAATTTCTTATCTATGGTCACAAAGAGCATTCCCAGCAAAGCCACATCAAGACACCAGAGCTCTTAACCCTGTGGCCATGAACTGTCATCTCTATACACGTCAACATTCTTTCTGAATCTGGCCTTCTCCCACCCTCCACTTTGTCAGATCTCTACTGCGATCTACAGTACATATCCCCAACATTACATTCATCTCTCTGAATAAAGCTAAAACATTTAAGAGCTTGGAGGGAACCCAAATAATAATTTCTTCCAACTCATTTTACAAAACAGAAAATTTGAACATAAAAAGGCTCAAGATTTGCCTAAAGGTATAGGGTAACCCCAAGCCCAGAAACGGGGTTTCTGAGACACAGCTCAGGTTCTACCTTGCCACCTGCCCCAGGCCATGGCCTCCTTGTCTTCACTCATGCTGTCTAAGCTGGTCATTGCTGTGAGGGCATTCTTCTACGATTCACCTCGGGCCATCCCTCCCCGTCACTCCCTAACTTCCAGGGGTTCCAGGACTATCACAGTGGACCTAAGTCAGGCTTTCTCCTCCTGGAGCAATTTATCTACTAGAGTACAGCTAGAGCCAGGGATTAATAGCTTACATTCTTATTTCTGATGAACCATACAAAATAATAACAATAATAATCCATCCCATTTTATCAACATGGGAAAATCAGGAACCATGACTGAGTGGACATCATCAAAATGAAGTCTGTGATATCTAAAACTTTCTATTGGGTTGTCGGGAAAGTCATGACGTATTTTTTCTGTCTTTCATGGCAAAAATGCATTATGACTTTTCCGACAACCCAATAAAATGGGCAAGGAAGATTATTTATAAAAATACATAGAGACTACAGGAGTGTTTTTGCAAATAGCTCTCTAAATTTATGCAGAAAGCACTACATTCTGGTTGTTATTTCTGTAAATATCCAGGCCAATTCTCTAAACACTCTTTGGTTCATTTGAGCATAAGCGACCTAAGGATTCATTCCCTAGGTCCAACCCCATCCTTCAAGTCAACCCCTTCCTGGTTTTTTCCTTCCTCTGCTCCCCATCACCGCCTCACCCACAGCACAGGTAGACAAAGGTTTTATTCACTCTGTGATTCTGAAGGCGTCCTCGCTGAACCCCACTGAGGCAGAAAAGAATAGGTAGGCCAAATTGCTTTGTGTTGCCTGCATAAATCAAGCTTTTATCAGATAAACAAGAGGCTCCCAGGGAAAAGGCAGAGAAGGCTGATGTAGGTGAGAAGAGCTGCCATGCAAACACACCCGGAAATAAGCAAAAGAGAAATACAAACAAGAAGAAAGATAATAGAAGTAAAAATAGTGCTGAAGGGCTTGTGACCTGTCAACAGAACAGATGGAGCATGATGGCGGGTGAGGAAATAATGAGCATTGAAGATAGTCCATCGGTGAGAGTGTTGTGAATGCCTGACTTCAAAAGAACCTAGGCGTCCTCCTGCTTCTAAGATAGTAAGTGTACTAGGAGTAAGGCTATGGATTTAGAGGGAACGGAGGAAAATTATGGAAAGGGTTGAGTTCCAGTCCTGGCTGTCTGTGTTCTAGCTCTGTCTCCCTAGGCAACTCTTATCCATTCCCAGAACGTCTGGTTTTTAATTCTATCAATGCAAAATTAGACGCGATTTCCAAGAACGCTTAGTATCCTGAAATTGAATGAATGAGTTAAGTCTCTAATGTATTATAAAACGAGTGTCAGTACCAACGTCAGTGTTGGACAGGAAGAAGCATGATTACATGGTCAGCACTCGAGGGAAGGCACCAGGGTTCTGGGAAGAGCACAGCCCACGTGGCCGGGCACTCTGAGTGCACGTCTCAATTAGGTGTCTAACAGCTTTTGTGACCCTGGACAATTTCATCTTGCTGAGCCTTCATCTCCTCTAATGTAAAGTAAAGAGGCTATCATATGCCTCGTATGGTTGTTTGCTATGAGACCTAGTGTAAGTCCTCAAAATGTTTAAGTTTCCATCCCTTCCCTTTTGGGGGAAGAAGGCACCTGGTACAGGAATAGCCTGCTGGTAAACTGACAGTGGGTAATGCAGATTACACTCAGAAAAGGTTAACATAGGATGGGCTTTAGCTCAAACGGAAATGTCCCCTGTCACAAGGCTCCAAGCAATTGTTGAAGGTTTTGTTCTCATTCTGTAAACCTAGATTTAAAATGCTGGGAAGCTGACTTCGTGTTTTACTCCAGATAACACTGGCTGTGCATGTGTGTGTGAGTGTATACGTGTGTGTGGGTGTGTGTGTCTCTTCAGGCAGACCCCCAAGCTGTGATGTATTGGTGGCCCCCCAAAATTACTATTTGAAATGCTTTTATTTCATTTCCCATATTTTGTGCTGGCTCAGTAACATAGCTTTGTAAGCTTTTGACTTTGGCTGAGTTTGGGAGCATTTATGACCCTATCATATGTAACATAAACATCAATCTGCTTTCTTATTTCTTTGCAAATTCAATTATTTCTAATTACATAAAGGCATCATTGATCAAGTAAGCATAAAAACCAATACAGAAGAGTTTAATCTCTTAAATAAGCTCGTAGACTTCAAGGAATAATTGAATGTTATAGTATTTAATACAAGGAGACATCTCTGTTGATGATAACTGGCCCGGAGTTCAAGGGAAATGTCTGAACCCCATCAGGTTATATATTGATTTGGTTCAAATTGAAAATATTTGGATTCTATTTTCATTTCCTCTTCCTCTCTCCCTGCAGGCTTGGAAATGGGTTTTAGGCCCTGTGGTCTTGTATGCATGTGAAAGAGTAATTAGGTTCTGGCGATTTCAACAAGAAGTTGTCATTACCAAGGTACGCATGTAGCTTTATGTTGGAATAAAAGCCTGAGTGCAGATGAACATTTTTTATTAGCCGGGGTTTTTAATTTGCCATTTTTATTGCAGAAGTGTCTGTAATTTAGAGGTTCATCTTCTGTTCTAATAATTGCGTGTATCCTGCGCATCTTTTAGTGTAACTAATTTTACTGAAGGCAAGGATCAGGGTTCCAGACTGGTACTCAGAATTCTGATAAAGGCTATGGCTTAGCACGCGAATCATCTGTATTTCTCTTTATTTCAGTTTCTCTCCAGGGGGAAACGGGCAGGGGGGTGGAAGATGCTTTACACTGGTCACAGCAACTTCAGGCATAATCCCTTCCCTCACCAAACAGACATAAAACCTGCAAACACACAAATAATATGCGAACGTTTTCAAGCCCATATACTCATACCTAGAATTACTGAAAAGGAGACGGGGGAACAGTAACGCTTGGGTTCAGAGGGCAGGGGGGATGCTGAGGGGTTCCAAATAAAGAGGAAGGACACATGGGGGGCTACACCCTAGCAAATGAGTGCTCTGTGGTAGCCTATTTCAACCTTGCAGCTCTCTGGTATTCACCTCGTGCTGGGGGAAGACATGAGCAGGTAGACCAAGAACACACACCTAGGAGACTGGAAAAAGTACCAAATACTCTCCCCCCAGTTTTTTCAATGTCTAAGAAGAAATTCTCAATCAACTAAACCTATACTGATTTGCTAATACAATATTAACATAATACTGTCTCTCTTTAACTATCTTCATGAAAGCAGACACATAGAAATTGCTTCGTATTTCTGTTTTAGGCTGTTTCTATGTTACTGTTTTTAAGTTAAGCACCAAAGGCTATGAGGCTGTATGAAAAGCTATACAGTAAAACTTGGAAAAATCTGCCAGTGCTGCTGCTAGGGAGACAATTTAACAACTGAATCAAAACGAATATCAGTAGGCAGAGGAGAAATAAAACTAATGATTAAAATGTGGTGAAATTATCTTTTGTATGGAAAAATACTGTCACAGAACATCTAGACATTAGATTTTGTTTCCCTTAGACCTCTTGCCACAAAAAAATAAATAAATAAATAAATAAATAAAATAAAGACACGGGGGCTTAGAGAGATTTTTCAGGAAACTAGATGGAAGTCTAAGAAGGGAAATCCATTGTTTCCCTCCGATAAGTAGCAAGTCATAACGTTCTCGTAAAACTGATGAGATTTTGCATGATGCTTCCTATATCTAAAACTCAGAGCATAGACAGGAGACCTGAATGAGACTCAGCTAAAACAAAACAGAACATTTCAGAGTGAGTTTGAAGATTGTTTTCCACTTAAAATGAAGAAACACCATAGTTAATTCACAAAGGGTTGAGAAAAGATGCAGATCATTTAAAATTGAACCTACCGTCTTAAGATGTAGAGATAATTCCACGTGTATTTTAATAATGTGAAGCATAATCAAGTACAATGCATGATATGCCAGCTTCTATTTCCTTGGTTCTGCTTAACTGTGGTAAGGACAGTGGAGCCATCTGAGACCGTAAGTCGCATGCTGAACATCACATTGTACCTGGATGCAGCTACCCGGGTTTCAGACATCGCTGGGAGCAGATAAACTTCATTCATGCTGGAGTCACCAACCCAGACAGGAAAGTGATGGTAAAGGTCTTGGGAGGCTCATAACAAATGGTACATGTAAAGTAGACCTCAAAATAAGCTGATTTAAAACTTTAAAACCCTTTGATGGAATAAAGGCTATTTCCTTTATCCTTGAGTAGAAAGACCAACCACTCCTTTGCTCTGTTTTAGGTGATAAGCCATCCATCTGGAGTCCTCGAGCTTCACATGAAAAAGCGTAACTTTAAAATGGCGCCAGGGCAGTACGTGCTGCTCCAGTGCCCGTCCATATCCTCCCTGGAATGGCACCCGTTCACCCTCACCTCCGCTCCCCAGGAGGACTTCTTCAGTGTGCACATCCGGGCAGCAGGAGACTGGACGACAGCTTTATGTAAGGCCTTTGTGACAGAGGGACAGACCATTAAGGAGCCCTGGAGCCTGCCAAGGTTGGATCCCATTCCTTTTTGGTGTATAAATTGGAATATTTTTTAAAGTATGGTAGTTTAGTGTATCAACATGCTACCGAATTTAGAAATATCATCATTCTAGATGGTGAGTTTGAGTCCCTTTTTTAAAATTTGAGAATCTGTATAAAACATATTAAGTTTGGGGGGAGTCAAAATCATGGGTTTTCAACTGCATGGAAGACAGTGCCCCAACCTCTGCATTGATCAGGGGTCAACTGTAATTTAGTAGATTTCTGATGGAAGCAAGTACATTTCTTAAAAAAAAAAAAAAAGTCCAACAAAGGCAGGTGAAGATTCAGGGAAAAGGAGAATTTTGCTTTCCCAGCTCCAAAACATCACTTGACTGGTTCTACATAGCCTGCGATGAGTAAGACAGTCCTGAGAGCTTTATGCTGTTAGTCTGAGGTCTTTTAATTATATTTGTAAAGTTTGGTCTCCAAAAGGAGGATGCTTCATGGTCCGAATTAATCTGGCAGACCCCATACACTGGAGAAACAGCTAAACAATTACAGACTGAAGGTCATCAAATGACAAAATAATGTGAGAATCAAGAAAGTTAGCGGTGTCATCCATTCCGTCATCCCGCATGCATGTACACAAGTATTAATTAACCTCCGCTGCATGCCAGAAATATAGAGATGGCAAAACATTGCCTGCATTCTCTAGGACATCTAAAGCAAGCAAATGATTTCATTTTGCTACAAGGGAGATGTGCACAGGGTAGAACTGAGAAGGGTAGAAGACCACTGATGCCACCTGGAATCGTTTCTGAGGGTTGTCGTGACAAAGTACCAAAAACTCAGTGGCTTAAAACAATAGAAATGTACCTTCTCACTGTTCTGGAGACTGTAAGTCCAAAATCTAGGTGTCAGCAAGGCCACGCTCCTTCTGAAACCTGGAGGTAAGAGTTTCTCCTTGCCTCTCCCTACCCTCTGGTGGTTGGCCAGCAATCCTTGTTTCCTTGGCCTCCAGCCACAGCATTTCTGTCTCTGCCTCTGTTGTCACATGGTGTCCTCCCCTATGGTGTCTGCATCTCTGTGTTCCTGTGGCCTCTTCCTATAAAGACACCAGTTGTATTGGATTAAGGGCCCACTCTACTCCTGCATGACCGCATCTTCACTTGATTGATTACCTCTGCAACAACCTCCTTTCCAAATAGGTCACATTCTAAGGTACTGAGGGTTAGGATTTCCACATATCACCTGGGGGACACAATTCCATCCAAAACAGCATCCTACTCACAAAAGCCTGGGAACATGACAAGTCCTGGTGGAAACTCCCACTCCTTGCCTCCTTTGAATAGACAATGGCTGAAAGTCGATTCCTGCTTACTACAGGATTACCCAATAAACACACAAAGCCCATGTTTAGGGCCCCAGATAAACAGAGACAAGAAATAAAGGAGAGACAGAGAGGAGGAGGAGGAGGAGGAGGAAGGGAGGGAGGGAGGGAGGAAGAAAGAAGAAATGTTGAGAAAAACATTTTTGAAAGCATTTGATTGATATTTCCAAAGAAGTACCAAGAGGTTCTGTCTTGTGCCACACTTGGAGGGTGTCAGGAACTGCCAAGCAGTGGCCACAGCCATAAGAAACTGGGTGGTGAACACCGTAAGGACACACCTAGAATGGACTTTTTCTGTCCTCTTCTGGACAGCTGGTGCCAAGAACAGTGTCTGACACGTAGTGGGCACCGAGCAAATACCTGAAGAAGGAAGGAACAAATACCTGCACCCAATATGGGTGCTTTAGCTCATTTAACTCAAATGTTTACAGGTGGCACACTAGGCACTGGAATAAATTTAAGGCAGAGACGTTAATCAGCTGATTGTCCCTTTCCCATGGGACACCAAACTGCAACTACATCGCATTGGATTTGGTTGTGTTTAGTGCGTGGGAAGAACCACATGCCTCCATTTCAAACATTGGTACTAAAGAGCAGTAAGACACCAAAGCAGAGCAGGGCCCCAAGTCAGATGACATCACCTGACTATTGCACCACAAAGATATTTTCTTTTTCATCATGGACAGGAAACGATGTAATTTCAGAATTACATTCTAAGGTTCAGAATGCAGTGTACATGCTTAAAATCAGGAATAAAAGTAGACACACACACACACACACACACACACATACACACACACACACACACACACACACACACACACACACACACACACACACACACCACTTGTCCCTGCCCTCCCCTTGGCACTGCCAGGCTAGATACCTGCATCCTATTTGCTAGCCTGGTCTCTGCTCTGGGTGTTGACAGCATCCAGTCTACTAACCAACCTTCTCCTTCACAAACCAGCCAGCATTTCAACCAATTCTCCGACTAGACCTCGGGACGTGTTTCTCAGTAGTAGTTGATAATGCTTTCTCTCTGTGGAGCGCATCATCAGCCGAAGGCCTGACGTCATCTTCCGCACCACTGCCAGGCCTCCCTGGGCCCCAGGTCCCACTTCCTTCTCCTCCACAGGACTTATCGCCACCTGACACAGGGAGAACCTGCTTGTTGACTTGTTTACCATCTGGCTCCCCACACTAGAATGGAAGTTCCATGAGGAACTTTGTTTTTGGTTCGCTTCGGCGTCCTCAGTACCTAGAATAGGACCTCTTAGCTAGCGCTCAAAACATTTATTAAAGGAATCAAAGTGAGTTGTAAAGAGTGCAGCGTCCCTTCACTTATTTAATTCGTTTGACCTCTGCCTCTGTATATGTGCCGGCACACATATCGGCAGTAAAATAAAATAAAAAAACAACAACCTGGAGTTTGTTTAAATCTTCAGCATAGTCAGAATTTTATTGGACTTCCTTAGGTGATTTTATCTCTCAGCATTGTTTTACATTTGAATTAAATCAAAGACATGGGGGAGAAAGAGCAACGTCCATTTTCACTGCTTTGGATCCAGAAAGGGTTTAACTCAGCCCAGGAAGCCATGAGGCAAGCGGCGACTGAGGAGCCTGGAGGAAAAGCCAACCCCAGGGAAGAGCCACGAAAGGCCTTCCTCTGAGCCCAGGCCAAAGGGAGCGAACGTGAGCTCTCTTTTAGAAGACTTCACTTCTGCAGTAAAAAGGATGGGTTTCTCAGAGTTGATACTGGAGTTTTCAGAGATGTCACTGCTGCCTGGGGCCAGGGGCTCCACAGTCAAACAGCCTGAGTTCAAAGTCCAACTCTGTGCGTGATCCTGGAGAATGTATGTAGCACTGTGCCTCAGTTTCCCCACCTGTAAAATGAAGCCGATAATAACAATAACTAAGGTTTTGTTTAGGAGTAAATGTGGCAGTCTTAGCACGATGCATAATCAAGAAAAGTTAGCTATTATATTAGCAAAATAAGAAAGGTCACCTACCATAGGGATGCCAGTGAAAGTGACAATTCAATAGGGAGAGCAACGTAGATGAATAAAGGGGATGGGTTCAGAAGACAGGGCTGGAGGTTGATGAGGAGGGTGAGGGTGCTGCTGACCATAAGCAACCAGGATGCTAGAAAGTGAGTTGTTTCCTCAGCTGCATTAGTAGAAACTCTGTACCCAAATCAAGGAGGAAGTAGCTGAGTGGACTTGAAAACTGAGAATTCGGGTGAAGGAAGCCGGTTCAGAATTGTGAGCAGTCTGGAGGAATGAAGATAGTTTGGTTCAAAAAAGAACAAGTAAGGTGTCACCATAGCTACGATCAACTAATGAAAGGCCTGAGATGCAGGAACAGGGAAAAGACCTGGTGTGTGCTTCTCAAGAAGACAAAATCCCTTTTTGTCAGAAGGCAGATTTCTGCGCGACGTGAGAAAAAAGTTCTACTTCTTAGAGCTGCCCCTAAATGGAACAAGGTGCCTGCAATTTAATTTCAGAAAATGTCAAAGCATTGGGGATGTGGAAGGAGGGATTACCATTTTAGCAGGGAAATTGGACTAAATATTTTCTCCTGCCCCTTACAGCTTAGATTCTGAATTCTAATTATGTAGAAATGTATTTATGGTGTATTTCTGTGGGTTATATGGCACGATTCTTCCTTGGGTTTAATTGTTATCTCTTCAAATCAGTGTCAAATCCCAAATATGACTAATTATAAAAACAATTACCAATAAGACATTTTAATCCATGGACAGTTTCTTTTTATTCTCTCTCAATTCCCCTTATTTAATTATTTATAAAATAAGCTACAGTGGGCTGAGCTACTAACTCTTCCTGGTTAATGACCTTTATTTTTATTCTTCCATTTCCATATATCAATATGTAGCAAAGCCTTATTAATTAAGATTAAGTTGAGGAGAGTTCATTTGAATTATTAGAAGGTCTGGCATATGGGATATTTTTAAATAAACCCAATTGAACTTTCATGACACATCATGAGCCCGAATGGGCAAACCTGGGGTGCCTTCAACAGATACTCCTTAGGGAACTGTGATGAATAACTTAGAACCCTTTTAATTAGCATAGCTTTGTTCATATGTAAATGTGTGCTTTTGGAATAGTTGAGGTTTTTTAATACGTTCTGCTGACTGAAATATTTTAAACATTCCCTTTACTATTTATTCAGCAAACTGTTACTGATCAACTGCGTAGCAAAGAGCATGTGGGGTTCTGGGATGCAGCAGTGAGCAAACACACACACCCAACAAATCATGCTCACACACACCTCAAAACAAGTGTAATATTACAACTGTGGTGAGGACTACAGAGAAGGGCTACATGGTGCTATAAATTATAAAAAAGGGGATTTAACCTAGTCTAAGGGTCCATGAAGGCTTCCCGGAGGGAATGCTGATTGGGATACAACCTAATGAAAGGGAAACTATTAACCAAGTAAGGGGAGAGGGAAAAAGTGAGGGCTGGGTATTCCAAGTGATTACTTGGATTATCACGTGCAAAGGCCCTGTGGCAGAATGGGGAACTACATTTTGTAGGACATGAAAGAAAAGCCAGAACTTATAGACAACTGGTCATGAGAAATGGAGTAAAATCCAGGGGCCAGTCCATTTAGGACCATGTTAAATGCAATCCTGTTTATTCAATGAATATGCTTTATCCTTATACAGAAAAATTTGCTAAGCAAAGATAAAACATTAGTGCCACCCCTGGTCTAATTATTGCAGAATTAGAGTGTGTGTAATCTAAAATAACAAGTTTTAGAAATTGCACATAACTGACAAATTACCTCAACATTTTTTGCTTATTCCAAACAAATGACTTCCATTAGGCTAAAATTATATAAATATGCTCATACAGTACAAGGGTGTTGGGACCGAATAAATGAATATAGGGGAGAAATACACTAGCAAAAGATGAGCCTTCTAAACCACCTTGGTGCTTCTGCTTTTTTCTCTCTGATGGCAGCCAGCAAAACAAAAGGAAAGAAATGGCCTCTTCTACCAGGCCCAATGATAATTGGAGCCACACATGCTTCTAAGAAACATAAGTGTGTGCCACGTAGAAGAGATATGACCCAGAGAAGTTAGGCATTGTCCCGACATGATTGGTGCCTGGGCCAGACTGTCTGGTCATCTCCCCACGAGGCAGGCCCCCATATCCTCATGCTGAGTTCAAACTCGCCAAATAGGGCATTCTCTAGCACAGAGCAGCCTGCCTGCACACATGTGCAAGCACATCCCATGAAAGCACTGGCTTAGGATGATGTTATTTTCAAGAGCCATACTCCAGGACTTTGTGATTGCAGATTGGCCGTGGACGGGCCATTCGGAGCGGCGCTGATGGACGTGTTTCACTATCCAGTGAGTGTGTGCATCGCTGCAGGAATCGGGGTCACCCCCTTCGCTGCTCTTCTGAAATCTATACGGTACAAATGCTGTGACTCACACACCCGCATGAAACTGAGCAAGGTATGGAAAAAAATCATTAGTTCACCCTTCTGCGGATTAAAAGGCTCAACGCCCTTATATCTATCATCTGCCAATTCTTGGGGAGTATTTTAATTAACTATGAGGGATAAACTCAAGGATCCTTAACTATACTTATGTTCTTAAAAATCTCCATTCAGTATTACATTTATGAGAAGGGTTATGTCTAATCTTGTTATAGATGACAAGACATAAATTTTATTGCTTCATTGCCATTACAGGACGAGTAATTGCTCATGTCAGTAAAATATGGACAGGCTGCAAATGGTTATGTGACTGGGCTGCAGTGAGTGCTATTAACAGACAGCCTTTTCCTTGATCTCTTTAGCTTGATACTCTGGTTACAAGTGTACAATTCGATATCGTCTGCTCATGGATTCAGGGTCTTAAGGAGAAGTGAAAATGCCGCAATTGGCATTCATTGGTTTGCTTACTTGGTGATGTGATCCAGCTCCGAATCTCCCTCTTGTCATTTCTTGCATGTTCTCTGACTAGAGCCTCCATAGTTGGCCTTCCTACCTTTGTCGTATCCAAGGACTCTGTCCCCTACTTTAACCCTCCTAGGACCAGCAGCAGACCTTAGAGCAGAGGGGAGAGAAAGCCTTGCTGACACCAAGTGGTGTCAGCTCAGGAAGACCTAGTAACTCAGATGAGCCTGGTTCTGGTCCTGACTCTGTCACTTCTTCTCTGGTTGACACTTTGGCTGCAGTTTCCTCATCCATCAAAAACAGATGCTTGATTAGATCACCATGTCTCAGTGGGTGTTCTATGGAACGTTAGTCAGATGATATGGTCTATTAAAGAAAATTCTGAGGGCCGGCTGAGTGGCTCAATTAGTTAAGAGCTCGCTCAAGAGTTTGAGCTCTGAGCAACAGCGGTTCGAGTCCTGGCCCGAGCTGAGCAGCCGCTGAGCTGCCAACAGGTGGCAGGATGGCTCAGCTAAAAAAAAAAAAAAAGAAAAAGAAAATTCTGCATTCAAACGAAGTTAAGAAATGCTACTACAAATCCCACTCTAGAATATTCACATCATCCATGAGCATATTAGATAAGTTCTCTAGAAAAGAACCTCATTCATTTGCTTCACCCTTCCCAAGCTTATTTAGCCATGGACGCTTTCTTCACCAAACACTTGCTAAGAAAGAGCGTTCTGTGAAGCAGTGGGGGCAGTGCCAGACTGGACGATCTCTAAAGTTGGGGCTTTCCCATCTAAGAAGAGTAAAATTAGCTATCACTTCATGAGTTTCCAAGTGACAGGCACTTGATGCTCATTTTCTTATTTGATTATTATATTCTTCCTAACAACCTTATAAAGTAGATAATACCAGACCTGTTAAGAAACCTAAAATTTAGAAAGACTTTCCTGAAAATACACTGGAAATAAAAGGCAGAATCAGGGTTCCAACTCAGGTCCATCCGGCTCTTTCCATGACATACCCAGCACACGGTAATGACAGCCAACACACGATTATGCTCTGGTTAGACGGAGGGATTTCCGGTCAGAGAATGTCCCTCAGCTGGTTCCACTGCCACTAGCAGCATCACCCTAAGTGAATCAGTTCACCTCTCTGAGCTGGGTTTCCTGATCCACACAATGGAGGAAATAAGAGTCCATATCCAACCAGAACCTAAAGCACAGAGAGCTAGTAAATCCCAGAACGAGAGTTTGATCCAGGTCCTTTGTGTGCTAACGCCCGTCTTCGTTTCTCTATACCACAATAAGTTTAGAAAAGTGTCTTCGTCTGTTTGGGCTGCTATCACGCAATACCCTAGGCTGTGTGGCTTATAAACAACAGAAATGTATTTCTCCAATTCCAGATGCTGGGAGGTCTGGCATCCCCAGGGGGTTGACTGGTGAGAGCCTGCTTCCTGGTCCATACATGGCTGTCTTCTAGCTAGAACGTCCCATCACCCATGGCAGAAGGAGGCAAGGTAGCACTCTGGAATCTTTCCTTTTTTTTTTTTTTAATCAACAAGACTCAAGTTTATTGGCTTGCAGTTCGCAACTCAGGGAGGAAAACCATACAGGTAGAGGTCTATAAGTCTTTTCATAAAGGCACTAATCCCATTCATGAGGGCTCCACCCATATACCTAATCACCTCCGAAAGATTCTCCCACCAAATATCCTCATGTCAGGGGCTAGGCTTCAGCATATGAATTCTGGGGGGACAGAAACATCCAGCCTATGGTACAATGCAAGCAAAACGCCTCCTGTTTTATGCATTTGGACCCCATGACAATGCTTTGTTATGGTTGACGATGACTTCTCAGTGCTCCTAAGGTTTTTCTTTCCTCTTGCTGTTTACTAAGAAGAACATGCTGAAAGAGGTGGCTCATTGCTTCATGGTTTCCATGACACGAAGCATGATATTTCACGTGACCTGATGGTGATGGATTGTGTGTCTCACTTGCATTCACTTATTCACCCAATGAATATTCAGCACCTAGTAAGTGCCAGGTCCTCTCATACTGACATGCAGAGCCCATCACTCGCCTCAGCTCAGGCTTACATACCTTATCCTTCTCTCAACACCTTTCTCCCACAACATACTTTATTTCTCCTAACAGGCTCTGAGCTCCTTGGGTATCTTCATAATCACACACACACACACACACACACACACACACACACACACACACTGCAAATTTTGAACAAATCAATGAGTGAATAAATGTCCATGTGCCAAAAAGAATGAACGAATGGCTTCTCGGAAATTCTCTATAAGAGTCTAGGTTACTAAAGTGAATTCATTTGTTTTAACCCAAAAGACTATTTGTCCAGTAACTTTATAATTAAAATAACACATCCCTATTATTTTACTACAAAATAGAGAGGGAAAATTCATATAAGAACTCACAAAATCTTAAAGTCCATATAAGAACTCACAGAATCTTACTACTGCCTCCACTCTCACCATTCCATTGCTATTCCTGGGCTCTGCTTATGGGATTTCTCAAGGCTGTTTCAGAGGGAGGCTTAAGCAGTTACCACAAAACTATAAAATAAGGACACTGATCTCTATTCCAAAACACAGAAACCATAGAATTAGAAATAAAAAACAAGGTTTTTTTGTAACATAAAAATGTGGGGTAATACTGGGTCAATGTTCAGCTAAAAACTAGGATAGGAATAATGGTAGGATATGGGAAAACGGAAGCTAAAAGCATAGAATCACAAAATAACTTGAGAGGCCTTAACCTACTAGCTTTGCACCTGACAATGAAAATCAGCGTCTGTACTTAGAGTGGGCAGTGATTTGCCCAAAGTCGCCCAGCGGGTTAGCCTCTGAGTCAGGCTGGGAGCATGTGTTTCTGATTTCTACGTCTAAGCTCTTTTGTGAAAGAAATGAGATTTCGTGCTATTGAAAGTTTCGGCTGAAAATTACACTTAAGATCCACTCCCTTGGAGCCTGCATGCATGGGAAAAGTTGAAGTCAAGTTTTTCTCTGTTATAAAGCAACTTTGTGTCTGTTTGAGTACAGCTCTCATTAGTCTTATGTAACTAATATTTGTCAGGGCCGCCCACCTGCGTTTGAGATATAAATACTACTCCTTCCACTAAACTGTCGGCATCTATATAATTTTTAAAGTACAGCAGAAGCAAAGCAGTATATATTTATCTAACAGCGTCTTCCCAATTATAGATCTAGGCTCTAGTTTTCGGATTGTTCTCTTCTGTAATAAAGAAAAAAGCAGCATAGGGGTTCAGAGCTGGGATTTTAAGCCTAAAGGGTGAACTGCAGTGGTTTTTCTCCTCCCCGTGTAAAACACCGGTTGGCACAAAGACGTACATTTTTCACGCAAGCCTCGTGCTGCAAATCTACAATAAAAAATACTTTGCATGAGAGTTTTCTCCGCAAACCATTTCTCTTTATCCTTCTCCCCTGCCACGTTCTTCTAGAACACTTCCAAGCAAAATGCAGAATCGCTGACAGGACGCCTGCAGCTTCTTTGGGATCATGTGTAGCACTTTCTGTTTCAAGCTGGTCTTCTAAAATTTCTCTCTAACGATCTTTTATTTTTAAAGATAGTCAGGAGGAGGTGGCGAGGAAGGGAGAGAAGGGGTTAGGAGGAGTCGTCCCAAGAAGGCTAAATAACGATGAGTATAGTGATGGCTTGCTGTGAAGAAAACAGGGGAAGAGATGTAATACGAAGCACGGTGGAAAGTTCACGAACTTAATTGTCTGACTCTTGTATATTAAAGGGATATTTTCAACACAGGAGTAAAAGCCACATTTCACTTGGTGGAAGGCAGATGAGAACACAAGGCTCCTTGGGGGTGAGGGAAGGGGCTGTGTGTGAGGGGCTGAGAAGTCCGTGATGCGACGTAAAGGGAGCTGAGTACTGACGGGTAAAAAGGCCCCACAGCAATGAACGTCCTCCAGCTCCTCCCTAACAGGTATGATTAATTCTACATCACACTCAATTTGTGAAAAGCGCTTGAAAAAACTTAGGACAGTTTGCTTGTGCAAAGTGTCAGGATGATGAATGAAATAGGTGTGCACACGTGGGGAGGGACGGAGAAGATTGCTGACATAAATATATTGGCTTCCACATTTTCGCTCTCCCCAATATCACAGCCATGGAGACAGAGCTGAGAGGACTGCCAACTGGAAGATTGGGTTCATTTTCTTAACTGCATATGTAATCTTCAGACTCTAATAAAATAGATCATAGAAAAACTGAGATAATCTAATTTCTTCATAAATTGTCTTCCTTCATCAGCTCAAGAATACATAACCGTGATAATGGGTATTTATAGTGTGTCCCATGCAAAATGGCCTTTGGGTTCTTAACCTAATATAATAAACAGATAATTCAAATAAAAAGACAGCATGGGCCAGTGGGAACAAGGCAAAGAGGCCAAGAAAGGCAAAAAAATCCATACTCTACTTAAATATATTAATGAAACAAAGGAGGGCCTGCTCTCTTTTCTAAAGAATGAAAAATGCATTTAATTTAATCTGTTTAGTTTGAGAAATTA